GAGGAAGGCGTGGCTGTCGGCCCGGGGCCTCTCGGGGCGCACCACCCGCGGGGCCTCCTTGGGCAGCAGGACCGGCTCCATGAGCGTGGGGTAGACCCCGTCGAGGCCGCTGCCCAGCGGGCAGTGCGTGGCGGGCGGGAACGTGGCGGTGGGGCGGACAGGCGAGGAGGTGGAGGTGGACCTGGGGGGGAAGACGGGGGTCAGCGAGTGGGGGAGCCACACTTGGACGGGGGGCGACTCCCTCAGGCTGCCGCCCTCGAGTGCCATGCTGATCCCCAACTGTCCTGGGAGCCCCTGTGAGGCGTGGCCTCACCTCCCGCATCTGTTCGCCCCCCAGATGCCGGACCAGACAGGTCAGCACCTGCCCCACCGAATGTCCAGTCCACTGGGGAAACAGGACAAGGGAGGGAAGGCCGTTGAGGGGCAGGAACTGCCCTGGGATTGGGGGACAGACAGTGCCCCAGGCATGCGGCCCTTTCATCTACTGACCCTGTTACCTGTCTGTCCGTCCATCTAAGCCATCCACCCACCACATACTCATTTACCCATCCTTCCATCCGTCTCTCCACCCCCTGCCCACCTACCACTTACATTCCCTTCACATTCCCTTCACCTCCCCGACCCACCTGTGTATTCATCTAACCTGATGCCCCATCCATCCACCTACTGACCCACCGACCCACCAGTCTACACATGGCCATCCGCCCACTCATGTACCTGTGACCCACTCAAAAGGCACCCACCCATCCTTCCGCCCACAACCTCCCATCCAGCACCTCCTCATCCTCCCGCCCACCCTCCCAGTCCCCCGGCTCCTTCACTATTTCACCCACGCGCCCCCCGGGTGCTCAGTCACCCCCACCTCAGGACAGTGGGGGCGCTGGGCTCCACGGCGGTGACGACCCCCTTCATGCCGGCGTTGTGCAGCACGCTGGGCCGCTGCTGGATGGCGTCCTGCGTCCGGGGGGAGATGGGCGAGTGCTGGTGGCTGTGGGAGTGGGAGGCGGGGCGGCTGCTGCCCCCGCTCCCAGCGCTGCCCCCGCTCTGCTCGGTACCTGCGGACAGGCGGGGTCAGTGGCGCAGGGCGGGCGGGGGCCCACGGCTTCACCCCTTGGCCGGGCACCTACCGGGTCTCCAGATGGGCGCGTGTTCCACCGTCGGGGCGGACGTGAGGATGGACTGCTCCCGGTCACGCTCCCGGTCTCGCTCCCTCTCGGATGAGGACGTAGAGGTCGACTTCAAGTGAGCAGGGGCACCTAGGACACAGCACAGGAGAGGTTCAGCCCCTGGGCCTTGTCTTCTTGGGGGATGGGACCACCAGGGACCTCGACAGGTGACGGGGTCGTTATGGGGGTGGTCACACCATCCCTTCTGTCCTGCCTGGGGTTGTGACGGGTGATGAGGTCATCATGGGAGGGTCACACCACCCTCTCTCCTGTCCTGCCCGGGGTTCTGACAGGTGGGTGTACACAGGGTGAACCACCTGGGGACAGCGGGGAGCTGCTGTGTCGGTTGCTGAAGGGCTGGGGTGCGGGCGGGAGGTAGCTGAGGCGGTCCATGGCGGCGGCGGGCGTGCCGGGGGTGGGCGGGACCAGGACGGGCAGGTGTGGCACTTGGGACAGGTCGATGATACCTGTGGGGGGTGGGGGGGAGGCTGCAGCCACGGGCGAGAGCACCCTGGGGCAGGGACCCCGCTTCTGAAAGCTCACCCCAGCCTTGCTCTGAGCCCCAAGGTGGCAGGTACTAGAGATGTCACCTCAGGGTGACCTCAGCTCTGTGGGTTCTCCCAGGCCCTCACACCCACGGGCTGCTGAGCTCTGGTCACCAAGCCTGACGTGACCACGCTGGGCCACTCCAGAAACACACCCCTTCCAGGTTCACACGCTGACAACCTGGAGGGTCCCACACTGGACACCTGACTGCAGCCACTTACGGGGACCACATACTTTCTGTCCGCACACACATCAGTGAACGTGCCCACAGCACAGCCCCCCCAGACCGAGGCCCGTGTGCTCCTGGGGTCACCCCAAGGGACACTCACCCCCAAACCACCAACAGGCCAGTGCGCTCCTGGGGTCACCCCCACAGGACACTCACCCCCAAACCACCAACAGGCCAGTGCGCTCCTGGGGTCACCCACCCCCAGACCACCAACAAGGCCTGTGTGCTCCTGGGGTCACCCCCACAGGACACTCACCCCCAGACCACCAACAGGCCCGTGTGCTCCCATCGACCCCCCTACGCAGGACACTCCCACGCACTTCCTGACAACCTGAGGGGGTCCTGCCTTTATATTCTCACACTCACCATATGCCCGCCTTCTGGACCTCCAGACCACCCACGAGGCCCTCACATACCAACTGGGACCCCTGCCCCGGCCAAAGATCACCCAACAGGGCTGATGTACGCTCGTCAAACCCTCTACACACACCCTCCCCTAGAACTCACCACCCAGACCACCTGCAGGGCCCGTGTGTGCTCCTGGGGAGACCCCTCTCCCCAACAGGAGCTCCCAGGACCCACCTGTCACGTGTGTTCACGGAGACTCACGTGCACACCCCCCACAACACACAGCCCTTACTGTGCAGGCCACCCCAACGATGCCACGTGCTCTCGGGGACCCGTTACGAGCCCACGTTCCCCTCGAACGCTTAACCACTCGATGAGGCCCTCATGTGCCCCTGGGGGACAATCCCACACACGGACATGCAAGCCCAGCACCCAGCCACCGTCCAGGCCACCGGGCGGGGCCCTCGTGTGCTCTCAGGGACCCCCACGTCACCCCGTGAGGACGCAGCCGCGGCCGCCCCGCGCTGTCCACTGCGGGCAGCGGGCCGCACACGCACCTCGAGGGCCGGCGGCGTAGTTGAGGGCCAGCGAGGAGTCGCGTGGCGACAGCCCCCGCAGCATGTCGGCGCGCTGGGCCATGGCTGTGGCCGCGTTGTGGTGCATCTGCTGCGAGGTGATGTAGTCGTTGATGATGGTCTGCCGGTTCTCCAGGGCGGCCGTGTCGGGGTACCCGCGGATGAGGTACGGGGGGTACAGATGCGGGTAGGTGGGGTTGGGGGCCAGGTGCCGGGGCAGGTAGTAGGCTGCGGCTGTTGGGGAACGGGAGCCGCGGTCAGGGTGGCCCACACCCAGCACCCCCGGACCCCAGAGCCACGTGCTCCCCAATCTCTCAAGACACCCACACGGAGCTGAGGACCAGAAGGCCCTGCTACAGATCGGAGAACCCACGTCCCCACAAACAAGTGGCCATTCGTGGCTCGGCATTCTCGTGAAACTGCCCGACCACCACCATCATAAACGTCCACAGCCATTGAGGGACCCTGTGGACAAGGCAGGTACGCCCCGCCCCTCCAGATTCCAGGGCTGCAGAGCCCACCAGGAGCAGACCCCCCCTCATCTTCCCTGGGCACAACGGCTGGCAGATTTGAACCACCGACCCTCTGAGCCCCCGGAATCTCGACTGCTAGTTTCCTTAAGGGATGCCTCCTCTCAGAGAGAGACCGCGCGGTGTGGGAAATGCTCCCCACAGCCCCCCTCAAAGGGCCCGACCCATCGACAGCTCAGGTCAGCGGGGCAGAGAGGACACTAGGATGTTCTCTGCCGCGGGCCTCCCAGTGGCTGGACCCTGACCACTCACACGGTGACCCCTCACCCGCCCCTCTCTCACGGGCCCTGCTGTGGGTGCCCAAGCGGCCATGGGGTCCCCAGGGCGCTCACCTGCGTCCAGGGGTATGCCGCGGGGGATGGAGGTGGGGTCGAAGGCCAGCGGGATGTGGCTGCGGTAGAGGTCCACGCCGCTGACCCCCCGCAGCAGGTGCTCGTAGGGCGACAGCGGGTGTGGGTGGTGCTCGGGCACCGTGCTGTGCGGGGACTTGGCGATCTCCCGGGGCGTGGACGTCAGCTTCCGGTCCTGGGACGACTTGCTGGAGGACAGGCTCCCTGTGGGGAGAGCGGGAGGCAAGGGACTGGAGGCGGCCCCCTCAGCACGTGAGCCACCCAGGTGAGCGGCACCTGCCGGGGCAGCGAGGGAAGAGATGTGAACTCGGCCACCGCCCCCCAACACAGCGGCCCCCCGAGGGCTGCGTGACTTCTGAGGGCAGAGAGGGGCCATTCTGGGGCTGTGACGGCCACAAGGCCCCGCGGCCCAGGACCTGCTGAGAGGCTGGAGCTCCGGGAGGTGCCTGGGGAGCGGTCTCTCCTCTTCAGACCTCCCTCGAGCTCACGGCTCTCCTTTCAAGGTGCTCGGAACAGAACTGTTCAGGACGTATTTACGGGGTTCACACCCTGTGCGCGAGGGGGCTGGCCCAGCATCAAAACCTAACAGCTCCCTGCCCTGTTCTGGGGACACTGATGGTCAGACCAGGAGACAGGACTGACCGGTAACTAATTAGCAACACAAGCCTGAAAAGGTGTGAAAATGCCACCAAGGGGGTCGGGATGAGACCTGAGGCAGAGACATTTCACAGATGTTCAGGGCTGACGCAGTGATCATAACAGCCTCCCCCCTTCCCAAGCGGTCAGCTCACGAGGAGTGTGGGAGCCTCCACGGCCCCCCCAGCCTTACCTTCCTGCAGGCGCGGCGTGGGCTCCCGCGTGGTCACAGGTGAGCCTCGGGGCAGGTGGCTGGAGAAGGGCGCCCCGTGGTCCTCGTAGGCCAGGGGGCTCTGGCGTGGCTTGCCCAGGTCAGGCACGATGACCGGGGCGCCTCGGGTGATGGAGCCCCCCGAGCTGCCGACGGCCCCCGGCCGCCCCTTGAGACTCTCCTCGTAGCAGGCTCGCTCCAGCGCCCGCGTGTCCACCATCACGTCCAGCGGGTGCACGGGCGGGAAGGTCCGCCCGGGGCTGCCAATGATGGAGCGGACGTCATGCTTCTTGGAGCCGGAGGAGGAAGAGCTGGTGTCATACTTTAGCGGGGTGCCCTGGGGAACGGAGGGTGCTGTGAGTTCTCTGCACCCCAGGTTCCGTCCAGGACTCGGGGCGGGAGGGAAGGGTGTGGCCAGGCCCGAGGTCCGCACGCGGTGGGCCATCTCCTGCTGCCCTGCCTTGTCCCCAGGCTACCAGATGAGCAGTGGCTAGAAAGATGCCCACTGACCCCCTGAGACCTCCAGGGGTTCAAGGCTGGGGTTCTCCACCAGAAGAGGGGGCTGCAGACACATGAGCGAGTGGACCGGCACCACCATTGCAACAGGGCGCTGCAGACTGGACAGAGGAGCCCCAAGTCGAAGTGAGCCCCCTGTATTCGTTCAGGAATGGGCTGATGAGGGGCGCCAACGAAAGAACATTCTAGAATGTGGCCACCCCTCCACTGGACTCTTGCCAGGGGCTCCACAGCTGCCTGAGGCCTCAGTTAAACCCTCCCACCTCCCTGTGGACACTGGGCAGGCTGGCCCTCCCAACCATGGCCAGAGCCCCGACCTGCATCTCCCGCTGGCCGTCTCTGAGCACCGGAAGGACGGTGTCCCTCAGAGGAGGCCTGACTCCTCACGCACTCAGAGCTGGCCATCCTCTTGTATGGGACAGCCACGTGGGGTCCACGGATGAGAAGCAGCGGCATGTCACAGATTCAGGGCAGCTGTGCTTGGGTTTTACAACCGCAAACCACCTGCTGTGTGACCCTGGGCATGGTGCCAGGCCTCAGTTTACTCATCAATAAAATGGGTTCAATCAGAGAGCCACCTGGAGTGTTGTGGGAGCGAGGAAGTTGGGCAGCACGGGCTGCGGCGACACACGACCCCCCGATGCCCCCTCACCCGGAGCCTCAGCGTCCCCTCCCCTCGAATGGCAGGGTCCCCAGGCGCACCTGGGTGATGGAGCCCTCCTTGATGGGCCGCGGGGCCAGCGGTAGCTCGGGGGTGCGCCTCAGCTCCTCACGGGGTATCTCGTGGATGGAGCGGCCGGCCTCCTTCACCGTGGCCACCAGGCCCTCGTGGGCCGGCTTCAGCTTCAGCGGGCCCAGCGCCTCCAGCGGCCGGGCCTTGTACGCCTCGCTCAGGTCGCGTGGGGGCGGCGGGGGCGGCGGGGTGCCCTCCCGCTTCAGCAGCTTGGCCTCCCGCCGTAAGTAGTCCTCCTGGGCCTCCACGTAGGAGCGCGGGATGCCTGCGGGCAGAGGGGCGCTGACCGGGGCACCAGACCTGCCCGTCCACCCGCTGGGGCCTGCCGGGCTCTCTGCTCCCTCACGCGAGAAAGGGGAGTGTTTCCTGGGCCTGCCTCCTACATAACGGCTCACACCGAGAGCTCACGGTGGCTGGTTCCGCCCTGACCTCCATTTCCCTGTCTGTAAAATGGGCTTAGCCAAGACGGCTCCAGAAGAGAGTACGTAAGGCCCGTGAGGGGCGAGCACACGGACGCCCAAAGGGGCCTGCGTGGTGCGGGCGGCAGTGCGCAGGGGTCCCTGCTCTGTGGACAGATCTGCAGCAAACACTGCTTCTTACGCTGACCTCCACATAGGAGCACGGGATGCCTGCGGGCAGAGGGGCGCTGACCGGGGCACTGGACCCGCCCAGCCATGGGGCCTGCCTCTGCCTCCCTCACGCAAGGAAGGGGAGCAGTTCCTGGCTGTGGCGGCTACTGTGCCACATTCCTTACAGGGGACCGAGCCGCGCACACCACCTGTGTGCTGCACCCCTCCGCCGTCGGGGCTCTGTCTGTCCTGCGCCCGTTTCCACACACCTGTCCTCTGCTCAGTCACAGGGATGACCCCACACTCCTACACCGGTCGGCTGTGCCCCCTTCCCACGTCCAACACCCTCGTGTACGTGAACCACACTCCCCTCCATTGCGGCCCACTCCTGTTACCCCTCCACATACATGTCCTACCACGTACCGTGCGTGTCCATCTGTGTTCCATGCGGCTGTGTGTCTTAACTCCTGCACACACGAGCTGTGAGCAGTCCACGTACGACACCCTGCGCCCCCGTGTACCGCCCCCCCAGTGTCATTCCATTCCAGCGCCCGTGTGCCGTGTTCCTGTGTCCCTCACACAATCACGTGTCTCACCCCTTCCGTGTCATCACGTTCACTCACACACAGACCAGCTCGTGTCCACGTATGCTGCACTGGTGCAGATGTGTGTGACACGGCTCCGTAATGCACCTGTGTGAACTTGTCACAAACATATCACCCCCTGCTGTGTGACATACAACTGTACTGCGCACCATCCATGTGTATTAACTACACTCTGCACGTGTGTCCATGTCCACATGTGCTGTGCTCCGGCCTGTGTGTATTACACCACGCAAACACACGTCACACTCACGTTCACCTGCACTGCGCTCCATCCATGTTACACCGTGCACACGGGCATCACCGTGTCTGTCACACTCACGCCCTGTGTCCCATCCACACGTTACACCGTGCACACGGGC